ACTACGAGTCCGATTCGGCTGAAATTTCGACAGTAGCCGTCTACGAGAATGTACTACACGATAGTAAATTTCTCTCGCGATAGTGGCGCCATCGGGCGGTGAGGCTAGGTACTTATCGGACCGCCCTCGTATATGAGATTTGTCCCAAAAATATCTTACTTTTGCCTATATCATAAGAAATATCTACTTTGGAGTGATATGAACAACATTATCTTCAAAATAATTTCCTTCCGAAGCAATTACCTTCTGCTAACAATGTACCTACTTGCGAAAGCAGTACTGGAAGTCGTTTTTTCTGATAGCCAACATTTCCTTCTTCACATTTCGTTTCATTTCCTCAACATTGTCAAATCACTTGCCCTTCAACGGATGTTTCAGATTAGCAAATAACCAAAAGTCACACGGGGCTATATCTGGACTGTACGGAGGTTAACGAAGTTGGACAATGCTGTGTTTAGTCAAAAACTCCTGAATCAAGTGAAATGAATAAATAGGTGCGTTATTGTGGTATTGTTGTGGTGTTATTGTGAAATGCGACGCTCGGAGTTTTCGATGCTCACACTGCGTACCGTTGCCGACTGAACAGCTATTGAGTTGTGTTGCTTGGTGGGGTTATTCCTAAAGGTCCATCCTAAATATTGAATACCTGTTTTACACAATAGAATGCCTAAAGACAAAGATATACGGAGTAGTCTTCTGGATACTTCTGGGACAGACCTCGTATATTGTAGAGAATGTTGTAATAAATTTTAGAATTAATCATTGTGTTTAGAGATTTGTTTTGAAAGACATTGTCTTTCATGTGAAACATTATTAAATTACTCTGAAATATTGGCAACCTTTATTTTAATCATTTTATTTAAGTACTTTAAATAATTATTTTAATCATTATTTAACCCTTAGCGCTCCGTTGGCTCCGCTGTGGAGACATTCTACAATAGTATTAACATCAATATACCTCCAGTTGCTTTTTGAGGAAATCACTTAAGTAGTAGTGGAAACTGTTTTTTTTTCTTGGGAATGGAAATATGTATTATCAATTCATACATTCTCTATAAAATTGTACAACACAAGAAAAATGAGAAACCACTGACGCATTTAAAATATCGGAAACTTTTAGTCGATCAACTAGTAGGAGATTTTTGGCAGAACAGAATAAGAACTTTTATTTCAATTTCTGAAACCAGGTTAAACGGAAAACTTCGCATAATGAGGGAAGATGAAAAGAGGAACTATGTTATATATTCCAAAAGAAAGGACAAGGATGGGAGACGTGTGTCAAACAAGTGATTATTGTGACACTTGCCCAAGTAAACCCAAAATGCACATGGGAGACTGTTTTCAAAGATCATACTGTAGTGAATTACAAAATTTAAAATTTATATTTTATTTACAAGAGGATAAAGCATATTTGTAAAACAAATAAAAACAAATACGTTCATAAGCACTTGTAATATTTTCCGTTCAAAGTAAAATTTCTCTTTCCCAGACACTCCACTGCAAAAGTGCTACCGGAGTTGCCAGTAGGCAGTGATAAGAAAACGCGCGGAGTGCAAAGGGTTAAATACTTAAAATAATTAATGACTATAGTAATAAAGCTACTGAATAATATTAATTTATTGTTGATTAACCAGTAATATTTCTCTGTAATAATGTTTAATCACTAACATAATAAACATAGAAATATTTGTAATTACTACGGGTTCAATAACTGAATTGCTAGGATTCAATTACTAATAATAGTATTTTTAATTTGATAATGAAATAAGTCATCAAGCACTAACTTACCAGTATTAAATTTCTATAGACAAAACAACATCGTTAACAGTTAAAAATTTTTTTTTATTATTTAGACAAGAACATCAAATATCGACTTACCTTATTTAATTCTAATTTGCTACAAAAAATATTTTGCAATAATAATGTAATAAATTCACAATATTTCATAATTAAGCATTGGATAAATAATTACTGAAATATTGATAATATTTAATTGCTGCAAATTTAATTGTATTTTCCAATATTAAATTTTTATAAAGGGTAAAAGAGGAATTTCGTCATAACTGATACATATAATATTTGTATGTTTATATTCTTTAAACTTAAGTAATTTCTTCCATTTTATTAAAGTCGACTCTGAAGAGGTTATAACTAACCATCCAATATAAGCAACACAAATAATATTAATCAAACCGGTTTCAAATGATACTGCTCGATACATATACCGGGTGTTTTAGTTTCCGGGTTACCCGATGTTTTCGTTAACGCGACATTTTAAAGAAAAATATTTCAGACAAAAGTTGTAGGGCTTTAAAGGATCTATTTACTGATGCTATGAATTTGACCTTGTGATAACCTTGAAAAATCCAGTCAAAATCAACATAAATATCTTAAATGGGTAACCCAATTTTTTATTACACTGTCTTTTTCCACCAACTAATTAGAACAACTTTTGTCTGGAACATTTTTTTATTTACCTAATATTTTTTGAGATATTTAAGGGAAACTTGAAAACTTTTTTAATATTTAACTCACGATATCTCACTATTTGTCGGAGGAAAAAGTGGTACTAGACTTTCTTGCTTTATTTAGTCTCAAGAATATATTTTTACAATATCGCCTTTACTTTTGTTAACTTGCTAGAAAATTAATTGCTAGAAAAAGATGGTGTAATAAAAAATTGGAGTATCCATTTAAGATTTTTATGTTGATCTTGACTGACTTTTCAAGGTTATCCCAAGGTCAAATTCATAGCGTCAGTAAATAGATCCTTTGAAGCCCTACATCTTTTGTCTAAATATTTTTCTCTAAAATGTAGCGTTAACGAAATCGGGTGACCCGGGTGGTCTGAAACACCCGGTATGTACATATATATATATATATACATCTAAATATCTACCTAGTGTATTTTCCCAAGATGCGATGCGATGCCGCGTTGACGCACTGAAATGTAATATCCTGTACATTCACTCCGACCCTGAGCAGATTAGATTCCACCGGTAGAGAGTTCACTATCACGGTCTTGCGAGTCGTGAGGAAAAGAATAAACCGTATCGCGTGTTATTCGTTTTTGTTTTCGCTCGAGCGCCGCGTCTCGCGTCGGCACAGCATACACGTATAATTTACTCTTGCACGTTTTACGAGACAGACCGAGATCGGTTTCCCTTTCTCCGTTCACGTTTAGTATCCAAGTGTGAGCATCGAGCTACGGAGAGTATGAGTGAACGGCTTTTAACTATTGCCACAGAATTTCTACGTTTCATTGTCCGTTTCAATATACACGCCTTCTTCAGGAAAGAAACGAAACCCCCTGCGCTTTTGTGAATTATCGGTGATTCATTCCATTTTTACGACTGCTCGCTTTCAATATTGTTCCTTATTTCGAACATTAAGTCGGTCATATTTTACGAAGTATATTCGTTAATTTACACATTTTCTCTTTACATTATAAAATTATATTATATTTCATCATACAAATAAGATTAAATAAAGGTGTAATTTCTTCCTATTATGAAAAGTCAAGGTGACATCTTTCCGTAGTAATTTACGAAGGCAGATGAGAACTTGAACAATGAAATAAATTGAACGACGTCCTCTAGAGAAAGTGTGAGAATGGATTGTAAGAATAATTATTTCCTAGAAGTAATTTGTGAAGAAGAAGAAGGATCGATTGAAATCTGATTTAAAAACTACAAGAATTTCAGAACGTTCTGAATCGTTGAAGAATAAATGGAATATGCATTTCGTGCTAGATCGAGAAAAGATGAATTGAATCCGCAAATGCATTTTTCATTAAGCGTGTGTTGAAACACGCTACTAAAACTTTCTTATATATTCCATATCAGATAAGTCTGATACTTCAGTTCTGTTAATTACTCATTAATTTTCTCATTTCGATAGAAATATATCTTCATATTGTGTAAATCTTTCGAAAGTACCTGGTCCTCGCAAGAAAAGTTATTACCGCCTTTCAACCATGTATAATCGATTATTCCTTGTAATATTCATTGAGCTTGATTATTAGAAATTACAATGTCCTGATAGATATTTTGCTAACAAATATGCTATAATAAAATCAATTGGGACGCAAAGCTATTAATTATTGAGTAAATAATTAAAGCGACCTAATGTTTTCACGTTGTAAATACGCTGCGGTACATGATGCTATTTTCATAAAAATAAAATATCGTGAAATATAAAATATAATACATATTGTAACCTGAAGATGTAAGACAGAATAATTTTGAGCGACTACGATTCTGGAACGTAACTGTAATATGAAATATACGAATAGCATATATATGTACATTCATTGTTTTCTAACAGATGAACTCTCGAATGAAATGCGAAAATATGAACGATGCATCTTATCATCAAATTATGCATCAAGTAACTCACCGCAAAGATACAAGCAAAAAAGTATTACGTTAACTCCTGATGAATAAATTCTAATTTTAATAATTCTTCTAAGTATCATTTGCTACAAATTAAAGTTATGAAGCATCTTTAAATTCTAAATTTTCCAAGTATTTCGATTCCTTCGTCTTTCTTTGCTATTGCTAAAAAAACATAAAGGAGATATAAACAAAAATACAATCACTATAATTAGCAGGGAAAATACGCTAACGATCCTCTCACGCGAAGATACGAAAGACTAATGAAACGAACGATCGAATGACGCAGCTTGGTGTCTACTCGAGAGACGCAAGTTATGATATAAATCTCGATCTTGGCCGTTCACCCGACGTCTGCCTTTCATTAAGAGAAGGAACGGTCTGTCTCGGATCTAATAAAAAAAGAGGAAATGCACAAAAGCAGCAGCGGGGGAGGAAGGTGCGTTGCCTGCCATGCTCTCTCCCCGTCTTTTCCACTGATCAGTAACTTTTTATCATGAGAAGCTATTAGGCGACTCCTTTCACGAGTGCGGTGCACAAGTGGTAAAAGACTCCCTTTCATTCTTACCCGGCTTCTATCACGTACGTATGTATAAAAGCGGCAGGCGTGTTTGCGGTAGTCGTCAGATCAAAATCGACATCAACTTGTCGACGGTCGCGCGGAGTGCCTTCGCGTCAATCGTCTCGTCTTCTTCCTGCATCTCGCCTTTCCTTGTTGTCCTGCTGTGGGGAGTGGCACTATCTGATACAGAGAGATGAGAAGACGACGCGATACGATGCTGCGTCTTTTGGTAAGTTCTGTGATGGATTATTATAGATGGATATACTCATGAATAAACGAAACATGAATAAATGAGACTGTGGATTAGCTACAATGAGAATTCGTGCAATTAATCGAGAAGATAATCATATATAGGTTTGCTCCAGTAGCTACTTACAAAAAATAATAAAAAAACTGTATATACTCTTACAGTTTATATATAAATCGTAAATTGATCATTCACAATTGTCAAGTTTTTGCCAATAAATAAAATTATAAATGAAAGTTATTATTTGATACTTTTATATCTTGCTAATGTTACTTTTGTTTCCTGTTAACTGTTAATAACGGAAATAAACAATTCCTTTGATTTGCTTTAAATACAATTAACACCATATAATAAGCATCACTTTCGTTATATTTAATTTTATGTAATTATATAATTTTATTAACGATATGTAATTTTTTTAACGATTTCTGTGAAACGTTTCCAGTTGAATCTTCTCCTAGTCATCCCGTTACTTAAATTAGCCAGCGCGGGTGGACATGGAGGACAGTAAGTTTGAATTATAAGTTCACTATAAATAATCTTAAAATTGTACACTGCATACTGATCAAAACAAATAGTACATTTATGTGGTATCATGTAATAACAATAAGATTAATTATATGAATTTTACCATTTTTTTGCGCGATTATTCCAGCAAGCATGTGGTAATTCATGTGCCGTATAAGGTCAAAACTATCCATCACACGCACACGATTACGAAGCATATACATCATGGCGGTGGTGACAAATATGAGGTACTTGGATATACTGTGGGCCATCCAATTGATCTTGGAAGTCATGGAGGTGGTTTAGAAGGTCACGACTTCGGCGGTGGTGGCGGTGGCGGGGGACACGATTTCAGTGGCGGCGGAGATGGTGGGGGGCACGATTTCGGAGGTGGCGGCGGTAGTCACTTAGATTTTGGCGGTGGTGACCACTTAGATTTCGGAGGCGGAGGCGGAGGTGGATTTGGAGGCGGCAGTCATGACCACTGGTCAGGTCGTTAGAAAAAATCTTTGCGTGTACATGATTGACTTGCTGTTCTTGCAAAACGCAAAAGTTCGCCTTAAGGTAATCAACATGTTAGCCTTGGAAAATCTAATGAAAAATTTGTAAAGAATTGTGTGAACAATTTTGTAAAAAGTCTTGTAATGAATATCGTGAAAATTATAAAATTGTCTTTAAAAGAAAACTCAAAAACTACAATTAAATGTAGAAAATATTGTGTGTATATGTGCAAAATTTTAGATATGCAAGAACGTGCAAAATTTATTCAATATTCCATATCTATATCAAAAGAGGTATATAATATAATGTAAAAGGGCGCAGTAAAAAAACTCGATGCACTTACAACAATCTTTTTATCTAAACTGCAGGAATTCAAAGCGAAAATTTAGTACTCGTCAATATATGTATACTTCAGAGAGTTGAATTCTCCCTGTGCACGACACTTCAGCATCGGTGCTGACGAACAACTTAATTTCGCATTTATGGTATACCTATCTATAATAATATGAAAAAATTATAGATTGCACCGATGCATTTAGCAAAAATTATGACTGATGCGTCCCGATTGATCATTCGTCCCTTTAGTCTCTTTTGAAAAGCTACCGGATGTCTTCCTTACTTTTATCTCTAGTCTGAGTCTTTTGTTAAATCCTCGACATGTCCTTCGAGCACAATGTATGTAAATATTGTTATTCTTTGTTTTATTCTTGTATTGTGTTGTTTTTTATATCTATGATTTTTTTACATTATACAATAAATAAATTGTTATATTTTTATGAAATGTGTTTCTAATCAGTTAACTACAAATAACACATCGATCAATAAGTCCCGGGACTAACCAACAGATGGCGCCTCTAATAACAAATCTGTACCATTCTCAGTTAGTACCAACCTTTAAAAGTTTGTAACGGCCGAACTCCGCGGTTCGGTCGTTGCTACGCGTTGTGCGCGGATAAGGCTCGTCGGAGTCCGGGTTCGAAGAGGAGTAAAGCAGCGAGACACTTGAGAGTAGCAGTATAAATAACTTAGATTTATTCTATGCTTACTTATATACAAGAGCTCGACTCCGAAGGCGTTGTCGCGGGTCGCGTCTATTAGGCGCGTCGGTACGGTACGGTGCGGTGCGGTGTGCGGTACACGCGCGCGTACGGACGGATAGGCCGCGCGGAAGGCGGGGCCTATTGCGCGACGCGTGTAGACGGCAACGACGGTAACGGCGCAGTGATCGGTCTCGCTTCGCGACGCTGGGCGTCTCGGAGAATTATCGCCCAATACTCGGCTCGCAATCGCTCGCGTATAGATGGTCGCCGGACCGGAGATTTCGACTCTCGGTCGAACGCACGCACGCAAGTCGCGGAATACGCGCAATGATTTCGTCCATCGGGGTCGAGGACTCTCGACGGAGAAGGCGTACGCATCTTCCCTTTTCCCTACGTTCGCGGAGGAAAGCGACCAAGTGTTGCGGACACTCAGCGGAGACGGCGAACACACCATCCCGGGTTCTTGGTCGCTAGACGGATCGCCTAAAGACTGAGTACGCTCAGCGGAGTTCGCCGACGGACGAACCCCTGACTCAAGACGGCGGGTAAAGGCTAGAGATTGCCGAGTACGCTCGACAGAGCACGCGCACGCACGAGCCCAGGAAGACGGGAGACGGCCAAGTATCGAGCACGCTCGATCGAGACTGCGGACACACAATCCCGTTTGTTTAGTCGCCGGTCGGGTAGTCGGAAAACGGAAGGCACAGCGAAACGGTCCGGATATTCTCTCTTTCGGCATGAAGCGTCTAGATCAAATCGGTGGTACGGATCGGTCTGGTCTGGTCTCAGGAGCTCGATCGCCGCCGTTTTATAGTCGTATTCTCTACGACTGATACGGCGGCGATCGAGCGGCGCGCCTATCAACGCAAGGCACGGCGACGGCGCGTGATCGCGGCCGCGCGCGCTAGCGGCAGCGCGTGATTGCCACGGCGCGCGATAATAGCGGCGCGTGATTCCCGCGGCGCGCGATAGCGGCGGCGCAAGATAACGGCGCGCGATCGTTTCGATCGATTAAGGGTGGCGCAAAGCGCCGTTCTTCGGCCCGACGGATGGTCGGTCGGGCTGGTAGTAACGAGGTGCATTTGCGCCTCGTTACAAGTTACGTGTCAAACTTTCATGACATTCCGACATTGTGTCATTGAGTTACAGTGGTTTTAGTGACGCTACTTTTGCTATTTTCAAAACAATGGAAAAAACCGAGTTTCGTGTGTTAATAAAACATTGCTTTTTAATGGAAAAAAATACCGTTCAAACTCAGCGATGTCTTGAAAAGTGTTATCCGGGCTCTGCTCCGTCCAAAAAACAACCATTTATCGGTGGTATGCTGATTTCAAACGCGGTCGTACATACATAAATGATGCTGAACGCTTTGTCGTCTAAATAAGGCTGTTACACCAGAAAACATAAAAAAACCCTCAAAATCGTGATGGAAAATCTCAAAGTAAAGTTGCATGAGATAGCTGACATCCTGAAGATATCATTTGGTAGTGTTTACACTATTTTGCATGAACATTTGGTCAAGAAAAAGCTTTTTTCGAAATGGGTGCCGCGTTTGCTCAGAATGGAACAGAAACAACAACGCGTCGATGATTCAGAGCGTTATTTGACACTGTTTACGCGAAATAAACAGGAGTTTTTCTGTCGGTATGTGACAATGGATGAAACTTGGATCCACCACTATACTCCGGAATCAAATCGGCAGTCAGCTGAGTGGAGAGCAGCCGGTGAAAGTCGTCCGAAGAGACCAAAAACTCAACAGTCGGCCGGGAAGGTTATGGCCTCCGTATTTTGGGATGCACATGGTATAATATTCATCGATTACCTTGAAAAGGGAAAAACTATCAATAGCGAATATTACATAGCGTTATTGGAGCGTTTGAAGGCAAAAATTGCAAAAAACGGCCTCATATGAAGAAGAAAAGAGTTTTCTTTCATCATGACAATGCACCGTGTCATAAGTCGATGGTAACGATGGCCAAATTGCATGAGTTGAACTTCGAATTGCTTCCGCACCCACCGTATTCTCTAGATTTGGTCCCCAGCGATTATTGGCTGTTCGCAGACCTCAAAAAGATGCTCCAGGGAAAGAGATTTGGGTCTAATGAAGAAGTAATTGCCGAAACTAACGCCTATTTTGAAACCAAAAATAAATCGTTCTACACGGCTGGTATAGAAAAGTTAGGAAAGCGTTGGAATGAATGTATCGCTCTTGAAGGAGACTATGTTGATGAATAAAGAAGAATTTTGGCAAACAAATATTGTTTTAGTAGTTAGTCTCGGGACTTATTGATCGATGTCTTATACCTGAGAGATTGTACTCTCTAAATTTTAAAAGTATATTCTTAATCTTAAAAGTATAATCATAATTCAAACACTAGTAAAGAATATAGATTGGTTTTAAGTCAAAGCAAATAACATCGTTAATTTTAATATTTTTAAAGTCAACAGCTGATCGTTGACAACTAATATCTGATAATTGATAGAGGAAGAGGAACTAATAGTCTTTTACAGTGTGGTGGAGAGAGATAAAAATAATTAAACTTGGTCGGATTCGAAATATTTTCATTCGCTAGTTAAATATTCTGCTAAGAAGCTACACTGCGTAGAAACCCCCCAGTTAGAATCACAACGTTGGCTCACGATTGATTCGACGTCGATAAGAGTTGAATTAACATTGATTCAACAGTTTATCGACCATTTTAACGTCAAATTAACGTCGAATCAACATTACTGTTCTGACTGGGCTTTAGTCATTGATGCCAAATCTTTTTGTATATCTTTCTATAATATTGTCAGAGTGTGGGACATTGTTCCCGAATGTTAACCAAGACAATCACTTGACTTAAAACTCTATCAAATCACTATTGGACATTAATAAGCAACTATCATATCACATTGATCCTCCATTAAACATTATACTACAGTGAAATTATACACCATAAACTATAATTAATGAAAGAATTATACAGCTCATATATTTAGCTATTTTAATCTAAATGAAAAAGGAGATAATCGACGGAAGAAATATATTATAATACATACACTGAATAATGTTTATTTATTAGATTATGTATAGATTTTCCTATTTCCTTTCATTTCTCTCTCTTTCCCTCTCTTCCACTCTCTTTTCTCTCTCTCTCTCTCTCTCCCTCCCTCCCTCTCTCCCTCCCTCCCTCCCTCTCCCTCTCCTTCTGCCTCTTCCTCCCCTCTCTCTCTCAGCCTAACAATTGAATATTTTTTTACTATGTTTTGTAATGGCACATTATATAACGAAAAATATTTTTTTAGGACTATTTAGGATTATTTTATTTATTAAAGCTCAATACATAATGTCTTTTAAGTCATCTGCCGTCTTTTTAGCCACCTGAATAGCGGTATCATCGACTGAGCAATATTTTCAACTGAATACTAATGGAATAGTCTCTAGAATAGTCTTTCCACCAACATTCTGTTATGAAATGCTTTGGTTTATATTTTTCCTAACAAATATTTTGGATTTCTCTTCCATAAGCTGATGCTACTAGGACTTTTAATACTTGTCAAAGGTCATAAGAGCACGTTGACTAACGTATCGTCCAAATATTTCTTTTTAGATAAACATGATTATATCTTTTTTTTTATTTGATGCAACAGTACTTTTTTTAGAGTACAACTCGCGATATAAGTGCGTTCGGGAAGCACTCTTTTAAGAGTTAAAGCATCATTCTGTTTCTTCGCTTATTAGGTATACAATAAGGATAAGATCTCAGTTCTTAATAACGCATTTTCCGAATACAGCTGATATCAGTAGTTTAACATTTCTATTTGATAAAATTCTATATTATATGAGAAGTAAGAAAATGTAATGAGTAACCTTATTAAAGAATTGTTAAAAGTATAAATATTGCATATTTTTTATATCACATACTGTCTTGTTGGCATGTGATTTAAAAGATATTACATATAATGTCATTAACAAAAAGAAAATAATGTCTCAAGAAAAATATTTTCTATTATGTAACGTGTCGTTACAAGATATAAGAAAATATTCAGTTAGTGGGTTAGGAGAGAAAAAGGGAGAGAGAGGGGGGGAAGTACGTGTTAAAATTCAGGAAGGAGAAAAAGAATAGAGTGGGAACGAGAAAAGAAAAAGGAAAAAGGGATAGCATAATTTGTTTGACATTCTTCGAAGATTGTTTCAAATATTCAAAATATAATTTCATAATATAATTTCAGTTTGAACCAAAATGTTTACAAGGATAAGCCTAGTCAGAAGAATATACAAAAGTAATTGTTATTGTTAAATTGCGCAGGATAATAATATACAGAAGATAAAGTATTATTATGTGTACAAATTAATTTGTTCTCCTTTTTATGAAATTAAAAGTTTATTCACAAAAAGACAAGACACATTTAATATTCGAAGTAATCTGCATTATTTTCGATGACTATTCTATTTTTCAGACAATTGACAAATGTCCTCGCGGAAAAAAATTGGCAGGTTTTATTAAATACAGTCATCGATGTTTTTTCGGACTTCGTCCACTGTGTGAAAGTGCTCATCAGCCATATGATATTGACACAACCGAAATAGGTAGTAGTCCAACGAGGCGAGATCTGATGAATAAGCCACATGAAGGAGAATTTCCCAACCTAACGTATACAGATAGGTAGATGACGTCCTTAGTCTCTTTTGCGGTATGTGGTCGAGCGTTGTGCTGCGAAATCACTTGCCTACTTTCGTTGCCAGTATAAGATCACTTTCGCCCCAACAACGCATCGCTCAAACGGATAAATTGTTGTTGATAGTATTCTGCAGTAACAGTTTGGCCAAGATCCAGTAACTCGTAATGCATCACATTCTTCATATCCTACCAGATAGTCAACAAAACTTTTTTTGAATGGATATTGGGCTTTGGAGTTGATGTTGATGGCTAGTCCAGATCTACCCATAATTTTTTGCATTTAGGGTTGTAATACAATATCTATTTTTATCATCCATAATGATTTTATAAAATGAAAATCTTTTCTTCTAAATCGGACTAGCAAACACATTGCCGTGTCGAATCTTCATTCCTCATTTTCTGAACTCAAGTTGTGCAGAACTTTTCTTCTGAATTTTATCGAGTTGATGTAGACGGTAAGATATACATTGTTGAATAACAACAAGTTGTAATTCAAACTCCTGTTGAGTTTAAGCGGAGTTTCCAGTCAACAGTTACTTGAGTTCCTCGTCGTCCAATTTTTGTGGTTGACCTGGACATTGTTGATCCAAAAAATCAAAATCTCCACTCCAAAACCTATTGTGGCGACATACCGCCACGCGACCCTGAGCTGCAAGACAAACGCTGCGTCCCTGCGGGGTACGCACGACAGGCACGCGTGATAGCATGCGCCCCAACACGCGCCACGGTATGCGAGACTACCGCGTCTCACGCATTACGCGTGATTAGCTCGCATACCGCCGGAATTAGGCAATAGGTATTATAAGTATAAATGTATATACAGGGTGCACGATTTATCTGAAGACATTGAAATATCTCGAGAACTATGCATTGGATAAAAAAAAGTGGTTAATGAAAGTTGTTAATCTAGAAGGGGGACATCCAATGATACCAAACTCGACCTCCCATCCCACCCCCTAGGGGTGGGGATTGGGGGCAACTTTGAAATCTTAAATGGAAACCCCCATTTTTTATTGCAGATGCGGATTCTACGCCGCAAAATACGTAAATTTTGTTCGAAACTTTTTTTTTGATTGGTGATAGATGGCGCTGTAATCGCAAAAAATTATATTTTCTGCAATTCTCCAGAAATGATCATTGGATTGAGAAATAAAAAAATACCTGTTCAATATTTTTAAAGAACATAATAAAAGTTATTCCCCCCCTCCTCTCGGGGTAGGGTGGGTGGTAACGTTCAAATCTCAAATGGGAACCCGAATCGAAGAGGGAACTGCTCGACGTGCCACTGTGGGTGTATGGCGAACTACGGCTTATTATAAAAAATTGTTTCAATGAAAAAAATTGTTTCAATAAAAATTTCACGTACAATCTAATTCTGCAATGAAAAATGTGGATCCCCATTTGAGATTTGAACGTTACCACCCACTCTACCCCGAGAGGATGGGGGGTAATAACTTTTATTATGTTCTTTAAAAATATTGAACAGGTATTTTTTATTTCTCAATCCAATGATCATTTCTGGAGAATTGCGAAAAATATAATTTTTTGCGATTACAGCGCATCTATCACGAATCAAAAAAAGTTTCGAACAAAATTTACGTATTTTGTGGCGTAGAATCCGTATCTGTAATAAAAAATGGGGGTTTCCATTTAAGATTTCAAAGTTGCCCCCAACCCCCACCCCCAGGGGGTGGGGTGGGAGGTCGAGTTTGGTATCATTGGATGTCTCCCTTCGAGACTAACAACTTTCATTAACCACTTTTTTTTATCCAATGCATAGTTCTCGAGATATTTCAATGTCTTCAGATAAATCGTGCACCCTGTATACGAGGGTTGCCTTTTATATTTCGAGAATGGACGATCCAGGTGCTACCATCTGACAACCGACGTCCCTAACGTAAAATTCGACTTTTTGTCAGTATACTTACTCAGAACGTTTTGATGTCCATGCGCCATTTATGTTGTTTACAGTGGCATGAAAAATTGATGTCGGCCAAGAAATGGAATTAAGTCGTGAATATTTCAGTACAATTATTTTTTACAACTTTCGACGTGGATTATCTCAACAATAGTGCATCGATGAACTTAATTCGACTTTTGGCGATGAAGCACCATCAAAAACCACTATATATCGATGGTATACGGAATTCAATCGTGGCCGTAGTTCGCTTAGTGATGAATTTCGTGAAGGTCGTCCAAAATCGGTTGTTGTTCCAGAAAACATTGATGCTGTGCGTGAACTGATATT